ATGACTTGAAATTGCAGCAGTGTTTCAGCCCTGTTACTCATCCAAAGGCAATTTGCTATTTCTGGCATGTCTAAAATGTGCGTCAATTTAATGAGTTTGAACACCAGGAGCGTTGTACAGTACAGCTGATGGTGCTGCGAGGGATCCGGGACTTCTTTATCATATCTCTACCTCCATCTAAAGTGCTTTCAGTACCTCGTGTGAATACACTCCCCACAGCTACATCAGCTGCTTGTGAAATAAAACGCGAAGACGGWAGGGTCTGTTTTATATACTGCCAGTTGTTTGCAGGCACAATTCATATYTTTTAATCTGTTTTTCTTGTGAGAAAACACTGTACATGCTGTAATGACTGATAGGCAATTAGTCAAATTAGGGAGGATCATTTAAGAGAATTAACTCCTCACAGTGGCTTCAAAGTGTGTAGAATCCTGCATGCAAGACAATCCTGCAGATACATTTCATTTTATGAGGCACAAATCCTCCTGACTGTGTTCTGGGCTCATGTTTTCTTTGATGCTGCAGTCCATCCCTGCKCAGACATGCACAGACACGGACACACAGCAGCAGCAACAGCAAGCTAATTATTACCATGTGTTGAGGAAATGTATTCACTCTGTAGCATCTCGACAGCATAAAGTGTTGCTTGCTCAGAAGGTTTGGGAGTGCCCCCAGTCTCTGTGGTAACTGGATGAATACAAACATCCAGAGGAGTTTGTGCCAGCTTCAGATGCTGTGAGGTGCAACATTGCTCCCCAGTGGCCGGCTGAGGAGATGTCACTGAAAAAAAAAACAAAAAAAACTGCACACCTAAGAGTCAAGTCTGTTTTGACTTTAAATATTTTTCTGCAGAGTTCTTTTTAAMATAAAATTCAAGTTATCCCACAAATGAAAATTGATAAGAGCTATCAGGCTGAAAGATGAGTTTAGGCATCATCTCAAATGCTCAGAATTAGTTTTAAATAGCAACTTATGTTTGTTAATTTTAAATTTTTTGACTTTTTTTTTTTGGATCAGATCCCATCTCGTCTGAAACTAGTCTCCTTTTTCTTGGTTTATAAGGCAACAAGTTTCATTTTCTAAGAGGTCTGGACAGAAAATAAAGTTCTTARACAATTAAAYGGGGGTATTATGTATTTTTCAGGCACATGGTCCAATTCTATACCACCATCAAGTTACCTTCAGTTGTAATGAAAATYCTGRATGTATCAAAAAATAATTTGACGTTGTAAATCTAAATGTCTTGAAGTTGTCTTCTGTCTCGGAGCAAATGAGCCGAACACATTCTTCAGCAGGTTCAGCTCAGGAACAAGCTCATCTTCCTCCTCTCCTGCCCTCAGCCAAACAAACATCTCACCCTCCTTTGACCCACAGCTTTCRTGTCAAACCTCAGATGTTTTAATCTTCAACCTCAGTCGTGGACTCTTCTACTTCCACGAGTTTGTCTTCAACCAAATCAGGAGATGCTGCTGCTCCCTCTGCCTCCCCCTCCCACTTTTCTGTATCTAGTCTAGGGACYACTGTGGAATCTCTGGAGATGATGGTGCAAAGAAGGATTTTACATAAAGTCAAGAACATTCAATTCACCTCAATTAAAATTCAAAATACTTTATTGATCCCAGAGGGAAATTTGGTAAAGAGGGAGATTTGGTACATTGTGGACAACCCTGACCATCCTCTTCATCAGAATGTCATAGTGTTTTCAGTTGGAGGCTTCTTCAGTTTGGTTGTAACACAGACCTCTACAGAAGGTCTTTCCTGCCCACAGTCATCAGCATCTACAATAACTCTTTAGTTAAATGAGTTACAATAACACCTAATTTCCCTCTGGGATAAATAAAGTATTTTTAATTGAATTGAATTGAAACTCTATCCCCTGATGAGACTCATTTTTATGTTTTACAGTGTAGTCGTGACAGAGAAGCACACAACTTTAACTGCAGAGTTAATGACAGCATTAGTTTACTTTTATGACTGACTCCAAACTGCTGACCTCATGTAATAAAGCCTCATTTATCTGTGAGGTGCAGCATATGTTAAATTAACTCCCTTTTTGATTAACTTTGCCTCATATTTTTGGTGATTTTCCAAGAAAATAATGGAACCGGTTAGATGGATAGATGGACGGATTCCAAGTTTGGGCTCATCTGCAGCAGTCCTGGTTTCATTTTCCATTCTTAGCTTCATCACGCAAGAGAAAATATCCATTGATTGATCTAAAGCACGCCTTTCGATGCCACTGCAATCAATTCTCTCGTCTCAGAGGTGCAGTCAGACGGCCGTARGGTGGCACTCTTTGTACCTGTCACATTCTATATGTCTGGCAATTCATCTTTCTTTTGATGTCATCATCTCATAATTTATTGTTTGTTTCCACCCCGCATGTACAGTATACCTCCTACGAGATCAGAATAAATACGAGAAAGATGACTCTGCTTGTTTCAGCCAAACTTCCCTAACGGTTCTTTAAATAAAAAAGCAGATGTTATGCAGGACTCTCTGGGCTCATCGTGGAAAAAAAAATTCCTCATTCTGCTCACAAGCTCAGCTGGAGAGAATAAATTTCATGCTAAATGAATGGCTTTGCACGCAGCCAGGTAATTAATCATCTGTTGGGTCCTTTCCTTCTCTCTCCATGCACTCTGGCCCCACTCTGAGACCCCTGCTTATGAGAAAGACATCTTGGCATTTTTTGTAATTACAAGTTTTTCTTCCACAGTTCAAGGCAGCTCAGGAGCTGTTGACAACTGAGGGAAAAGGGGGGTCTTGTTGCCTCAGCAAGGTTGAAATGCTGAAGTTTTAATCCCATCGGTCACAGCAGCAGCAGATTAGAACTGTTCCAGGGTTTAGAAGGATCAATAAGGGTTATTTCTGTATTTTATTTAAGTAAGAAATGAACTTGTGTTTAGAGCAGGTCTCATGAACATGGCTGTGTGAAATGAACTGAAGCTAAAATGTTTAAAAGTTCTGCTGAGTCAAAAGGAAGCTAAAACACTTGATTAGAACTGAAATTATCTAGGATTAAGTAGACAGCATTTTACACTGCCTGGCCTAAAGAAAAGTTGCCACCAATATTTTGTTGGATCGCCTTTAACTTTATGGCATGCATTCACTGTGGCATTGTTTCAATAAATCTCTGCAATGTCACAAGGTTTCCATCCAGTGTTGCATCACTTTTCACCAAGATCTCGCATCGATGAAAGTAGAGTCTGACCGCTGCGCGAAGCCTTCACCAGCACATCTCAAAGATTCTCAATGGGGTTCAGGTCTGAACTCTGTGGAGCCAATCTATGTGAAAAGACATTCTCCCTGAACCACTTTTTCACAATTCGAGACTGATGGATCTGCAGCAACCCCAGATCATAACACTGCCCCAACAGGCTTGTACAGTAGGTGCATCACCTCACCTGCCTGTCTTCTTACCCTGATGCTCCCATCAGTCTGGAACAGGGTCAGTCTGGACTCAGACCACATGGCCTTCTTCTATTGCTCCAGAGTCCAACCTTTAAGCTCCCTAACATTTTTTTCTTGGTTAGCCAATGATTTGACCCTTCTCAAACAGACTGACATCTTTTCCATGACCACATGGATGTGTCTTTRCACATGGTTGTTTAAGAAATGATTGCACCAGTTGGGGTTAAARAGCTTGTTGCAGTAATTATCCAATAGGATGCTCGTACGTATTTGCTTAGTTAAATCCAGGTGACAACTTTATTTTTATTTTTTGGCCAGGCAGTYTATTTTGGAAAAAGCACATTAATTTGATCTGTAAGCTACATCTATAAATCTGCAGACTCCAAACCACCATAAAAAAAGTTGATCTCACTACTCTCATGTAAATATTTCTTTGACAATTGTTGTTGCCTTTTTGTTACAAGTCTTCAGATACTGTATTTTATTGACCCTGACATTTCCCATTTATACATTATAAAATAATTGCTGTAATCTTTTCTCCAAACATTAAATTTGAGTTTGTCGGAAAATACTTTTATCATGAAATTCATTTTTCTAGTTTTTGGTGTTTCTCTGTTGTGCAGAGAGGGGAAAATAAACAAAGGAAATAAAAGAAATCAACCTGATTTTGTTTTTATTCAGAGTTGAAGCACCTTAGACTGGCTCTAAATAATTCTGGAAATAAGGCCTGAGGGTTAGTTTGAAAACACATTTAAAAAGCTACTTTTTTCCCCTTGCACTGATGGTTTGCGAATTTTTTAAAGTTGAGTCTACGAGGGCTARGAAAATGTACGAATGATCAGGCAGGATGAAGGTGAGCATGTCATTAGAGGATGAATAGACAAAGCTTTGTTCAGAGGGAAAAATAACTATCATAGACACTAAATTTATTAAAGAACAGAGGTTACGTAGTCACGTCTCAGAGGATATGTAGCATTTTTAAAACACTTTTCAGTAAAGAAAACCAGATGAAACACTCCGGTTGGACTGAGACTTATCAACATTTCAGAGTGGATGAAAGAAACTAGTCCACACAAGAAGCAAAGAGAATATCGCTGCAGTGAATCAAACTCACAGTGAAAATGAGGTTGGATTTAGGTCTGGAGTTGGACACCTGCAGTTAATCAACTAAACTGTGAGCAAAAAGCAGTTCAATCCTCAGAGACAAGTTCAAACTCTGTCACACCTCAAAGCTTTGGACATAAAGACCAAAGAAAGAGATCCGACTAGCACAGACTTTCCTCCACGGACCTTAAATTCACCYAATGGCCAAACATCCCTGATCCAACAAAAATCCTTCTGAAACATAAAGCCAGAGTGTCATYACTTAATGATGTGGTTAAACCTAAAACTCTATTAAAGACAGCATGAAATATAGTGTTTGAAGATTTGCATGGAATTTTGTTGCATTTGCAGATACATAAATGTGGTGTACCATTGCTATAAAGGCATCATTATGGAAAGTTTTACTGTTTTTGTCACTTTTTGTTTGAAAATAATCAGCAAACAGTTCAAATTAGCTAAAGAAAAGTATTACAAACCCAGTCTAATTTTTTAATTGCTTGTTTATCTCATTCTAATTATTCATTTACAGCACCTCAAAATGTTGACAATGCTGCTCAACTCCAGTAGCACAGAAGTCCAACTTTATTTTTCAGTTGCCCTGAATCATCATCTGGCTCACACAGCACTGCAGAAAACATAAATCAATACAGCTAACTGAATATCAATATATATGACCCCCATCAGCATTTTCCAGAGGAACAGACAATTACCTGTCCAATTGTGAAAATGAAAGAGGTCCACACAAAAGCAAATCACTCGCACTCAAAACGGGCCTGCTCATTCAGGATGCAGAGTTATGCATGGCATAATTAATTTGCCATTAAGGCTGGATTGATGTTGCCTTCGTGGTGCAAACAACCAAGCCATAATTGCTTCTGGTGTTGCATCCACAGCTTTGCCTCATTACTGAAACAGATGCTAATGTGGTGAAGCGGCTTCAGGTTGGCAGGAGTGTGAATCTTCTTACTGTGTTGAGACACTTGTGAAGAGTGCTGCATTGGGAAAACAAGAAGTTGAAAATGTCTCGTAATTTGCGGCGGCGCGAGGAAGGAATGAGGTACGTTTTTGATGAACCAAAGTTTTATATTGATGAATGGAATTTGAAGATGAGAGCAGGACATGTTTTTACTACGTCGGCCCAATTGGTAGAAAAATTAGGTTCATTAGGTGATCCTTAAGAAAATACCATTGCTTTACTTTTATTTTAAACTGTATGTGAAGGCATAATTAAATATCATCAGCTCTTAAACTCAGATTAAAGCATTAAAAGATTAGAAACACAAAAAATACATTCTCAAGTATTTAGCAAAACATTTTAACTCTAAGAGCGCAAGTCCTTCTATAAAACCTGAATTTTCCAGTTTTTTGGTCTTGAGCATTTAGGTAYACATCCTAGAAAGGTCACACTTAGTAACTAAACATTTTTATTGTTCCAAAATATAAAACCTTGTAACTGAAACAGACTGAGCTTACTCTCCATCTGATATGTTTAGATCTATTAAAATGACCTCCTCACCTGTTTATCCAGCCAACCATAAAACTTCATGTATACTTCACAAGATGTTTATTTATTTGGTTGTAAACACCAGTTTCCAACTTCAGAGAAAATAGAAAACCTGAATCCTTAATACCGCAGTTTGCCATCAGRTCAGTCTTCACTGAATGAACTGATTGTCTTTTAGTTCAGTTCTTTTCTCACTGATGGAATAAAAACATGGGAAAACAACCAAGAGTCAGTCTTTCGGAGATTTTTCACAACCCCACACGCAAATCTTCACATCCTTTTCATTCGTTTCTTGGGTCTCTGGTTGAAGACGGGGGAGGTTCCCATAAGTGAATCTGGTGAATGTGAGGCGAAGCTGCCGTCKGACGCCAGCCCTCCCGGTGACGGTGCCATGGCACCTCCTGATTCGCTCATGGTGGACATGGGTCCTCCCTCTTCGAACACGTCTCCGCTCAGGGCCCCTTGGTGGTGGTGGTGATGGTGATGGTGGCTCGCACCTTGACCTTCGTCACCGTCTTGCGGTTCCATTTTCACCTGGGGCCACAGAGGGGAGTTGTTGGCCCCACCTCCACCTTATGAAAGGAGTGGAATAAACTATTAGAATAAACCTTTTTTAACCAGTTTTGGAAGAAAGTRCGTGCCAATTTGCCAAATTTGAGACCACAGAAAGCCAGGGCTCCATGATTAGTTGTAACATTAGACTTTATTTGATAAACATATATTTTAACTGTAAAATAAAAAACTGTAAAAATACTGTAGGCTGTTTAGTTTGGTAAATTTTTAAACTAAAAGTTTAAAAATATATTACACAGATGGGGCCATTTTGTTTACACGCAAAGCATTCTGGGTAAATAATGACGTGGATAGGTCATCGGTGCGAGGCTGCTAGTGAGCTAGCTATATTGCCTTATATGTATTACCTCGGTGCTAGTGCGACAAACAAGCTAACTGAGGTCCTCCATCCATATTTTCAGTTGCAGCTGAGTCATTTTTGTGTTCCCCTCTCTGTCATGTGGATGGAGGACCTCAGTGATGAGAGGAGAATGTGTAGCGCTGAGCTAATACATATATATGGTGATAGCCTCGGGGCTAAAGCTAACAGGCTAAGCTGAGGTTCTTCTTCCATAAAGCAGCTCTGTTGTCCTCCATCTATATTTTCAGTTACAGGCTGTCATTTCTACCTTCTCCTCTCTGTCAACGCTCTCTGGTTTTATTTAAAAGAGCCGATCATCAGATGTTGTCCAAGATTAACCTTCAGGGTGGATATAGCTCGCTCACACTGAGGACCTATCAACTCATCATTTACCCAGAATGCTTTGAGTGTAAATAAAATGGCTCCGTCCGTGTTAAAATATATTTTAAAAAATTTACAAAACTAAACATCCTACAGTATTTTTACAGTCTTTATTTTACAGTTAAAATAAATGTTTATCAAATCGTCTAATGTTACGACTAATCGTGGATCTCTTTAGGTATTTGTATATTGAGTAAGCCACATATAGGTAGCAAACTGCAGTCAGTATTACTGCCAACAGGTTTAAGCACAGAATATGAATTGTTGGATTGTACCAGATATTAGAATTAGCAACAGTATTCACTTTCAGCTCATGAAACAAAATATTTCATGGTTTTCTGATAAAAGGCTAATTTACCCAGACCGTGTATGTTTGCTACACACAGCGGGAGTGTGAAAGAGTGGTCAGCGCTCTTGCAGATTGATTATTTTTACTGAGTCCGGTTTGCTTTTGTCCACAGGTTGTTGTATCATGCAAGGCATTAAAACCAGTAAACGTGTTATTAAAAATAAACGAGCTGTGCCAACTACTGAAGCCTTTATCTTCAACAAAATTTAAAAACATCTAACAATGTTGTGTTTTTTTTAATGTTGAACAGAACTAGTGATGCTTGTGCAGAACTGTTTATTGTGAAACTGAAAAAATGTTCACACATGTACCCACACTCACAAAGTAATAAAAAGCCTGACTTTTTTATTTGCCTAATTCAGGGGTCTGCAACCTGCGGCTCTGGGGCCACATGTGGCTCTTTGGTCCCTCTGCAGTGGCTCTTTGAAAATGTGACCAAAAATAACAGAATAAATTGTTTTTTGTTTTTGTTTGTTTTTATACCCACAACAGAAATAAATTTGTATGCAAATATATGATCTATACTACTAATACAAAAAAATAAAGCATGTTAGCTCATGCTAGCCTGTTGTTTACTTAAATAATCCAACTTCTATCTATGATCTTTCTCTCAAATCCATCAAAATGTACCATTAAATAAATTGGAAACTACATAATAATACGAATAAAAAAATTATGCCTGAGTAATTCAGTTGTACTAGTTTTTATGAAATTCGGTATAAACTACATACAGTATTTTTCTTGTTTACATGAATATGGTCTTTTTATTTGTCATGATGTGTATAATATTAACTAATATAATATATTTTTTAGTTTTATAATGTCACCTCTACCGACCGTAAAGGTTCCTGAATGGGCCTTGAAAAGGCCCACGGACCACCAGTTGGTAATCACAGTTCTAGCTTGTTTTGTGGCTCCGGAGACATTTTACTGGTGAAACAAGGAGCAGAAATGGCTCTTTTGATCGTAAAGGTCGCAGACCCCTGGCCTACTTAGAACAATTAATTGAATGTTTATTATTTAACAGCAGAGTTTCCCAAAARGTAGAGAGCACTGGTCTCACCTGTGGCATGTGGAGAATGGTCACCATCCAGACCTGACGTCAGCCTTTCAGCATGAGCCCCTAGCACCCCCATAGGTAAGGCCTGATCCCCAGGAGCCAGGTCGGCCTCTGGCTCCTCGCTAACAGGGAAGGAGATGTCACTCATGGGCTCTTCTTTAATCCTGGGGGGCTTGGAGTCTTCTAGTGCTTTCTCTGGATTTACCAGCCGCTCGTATTCCTCTGACAGCTCCTTAGTAACCTTTTTGGAGAAAATATCTCTGTTATGTTCTTCTACTGTACGGAAACATTAAAAAGAGTATGAGAGAGTACTTGTTTTAAAATATGAAACTTTTAAAAGACTACTCAGTTAACAATTCAAATAAGTAGGAAAAGTAACAAACACAAGCAGATATATAAAAAATAACCACCAGAGTAGAAATCTGAATCTCACCTGCAGCATGTAGGTGTGATAGTCCTTGATCCTCACTTGCCAGAAGCGCTGCAGGGCCAGCACGCTGCCAATGCCCAGCTCATGGAACACTTGCTCTACCACATCTGGGAAAGGACTGGCTCCCAGTCGAGCTTCGCGGTCCACAGCTACTCGCAGCAGGTGGGTGATTCGGAGGTAATGCTCATGGACCAGGTCGGTCAGGGTCTCCAGCACGCTCTCCTGGGCAGACTCAAAGCCAGCGTGGGCCAGCACCGTGGCCACCGACTGATAAAGGAGCTGCCTGCAGGAGGGCCAACTCAGCTCTGTGACCGGTTCACCCTTACCTCTGAGGGGAGTGGAAACCAGTACAAATGTTAGGAAGATAAATGGGATATTCAGCCTTGAGCCACTCCTCAYTTTTTAGTATTTTATTAGACCTGTTTTTCATGTGATTTTGAAATGCTAAATTTAATGATCTGACTGAAAGTTAGTAAGACAAATGACAGACGACTTTCAAATAATTATTTTACAGGGCCTTAAGAAAACTTAAGACCACTTTAGAAAAAGTTTGACTCATTAGGTGTGAACATACAGAAATGTAAAATGACTCAAGACTTTTATGCTGTATGTGTAGAATTTAAATACGGAAAGAAGATACAATTTAAAACTTACTTATAGAAGTCGCTCTCAGGGTCACTATGGCGAAGCTGAAAGGGCTGGCGGGGGGCTTTGCTGTCTACAGGCAGCAGATCATCTGGCATAGCGGGAGGGGTTGGAGGACGAAGGGGCAAGTTGGCATCAGCCTCCCCTAGCTGGCTGCCGCCCTCTGAGGATGTGGAGCTCTGGCCCTGAGATTGTGCTGCTGCCAGAAGAGCACGGAGGCGGCGGGCATGCTGGCATAGCTGCACTGTGTGAATGGTGAGGCTGCAGGGTTCTGAGGGGATGTCCAGCATCGTGGTGGGCCGTGGACGCTGGGCCGAGGGCTGGTGTAAAGGAGGGTCCTGCACCTCCACGGAGCGAAACTCCCGCTGAAGCAAGTCGAAGGAGCTGCGGCTGGGGGGAGCCCCTGAAGGTCCAGGGATCTCACCCCAGTAACGCATCATGACTGAACAACTAGATTCAGACCTAAACGGAGTCAAAAGTGAGAAGGAAAGAGGAAGTGTCACTGAGAAATTAACATTCACAACATTTTTTATTTGTATTTTTTCTAATTAACTCTGCTTATAAGTTTTGTTTGTGTAACGAAGAAAAGGAAATTTAACGTGCACTTTCCACTCGCAAGGAAAACTGTTTATTCCAGACTTCTAATATGCAATATATAACGATTAAAAGCATCATATAACAATCCACCAAACACTGTCCAACTTAAAATCTGCTTCAGTGTGGAAAATGGCATTATTGCACAAACATTATTGTCTAAAGGACTTGCTTTGTTTTGTTTTTTAACTTAAAATACATGTTATTCAATTGATTAGCATTGTGTGTTTTTTTATGTTAAGGTTAGGACACTTATCCCCTGCCAGGGTGTCCCATTAGAGATGACCTGGGCAGGTATCTAGTCCATAACAGGAATACCTGGATATGTCTGCAGTCCATCAGGGACTATCCATACTCCCAGTCATAAAGAAGAGGTCCAAAAAAGAGATCCAAACTGAGAACTCTGAACAAAGATCCATCTGCCGATGCATAGAGTTCTAATCATTTATTCATAATGATTTATCATATATGACATAGTAAATTATTATCCTTGTGCAAATGTATTATTGTATCAAACAAGACAAGTAGCCCTTCGTATTACCCGGTGCTCCTAAAAGCTCTCAGTCTAAAAAAAAAAAACAAAAAGGTAGGTGACCCCTGGCTTAAAGGATACATAATGTACTGCTAGACACGCCGAATTGTTGGTTTAACCTAATGTATCAGTTTGAGCTTAAATTGGAAGCTGAAACTGATTGCGTTATAGCTACAGATATTAAACCTCTATAATCTAACTAGTCTACACAACAGTAGGTGCACGTACACGAAAAAATATCTAGAAAAGTCACGAAGGAGCTAGTCAAAACTGACTAATTAAGCTTTTAGCATATGTATTCCGCAAGAAGATTTTAAGCATGTAAAATAAAACGCCAAATTTACCTGGAGATTGATTAAACGTCGGATAATCTTGAAAGCCAGAAAGCTTTCTAGCTTTGTCGGAAGTTGAACGAAGACAGACCGTTTTTGTCCTTGCTGCAAAAAGCCCCGGTTGCAGTGTTGAAGATATATAGTTCCGCTTTAATTTTTTCATTTCAAAGCGAAATATAATTAAACATTTTATTGATAAATATTTTATAAAATTAACGTTAGATCAAAATAACTACTATTTTTTATTGGTAGGGAGTGGATGGTTTTGAATAAACCGTCTGTGTTGCGGGCTGATTTCACAGTTACACCAAACAAACATGGCCGCCTCCCCTCCTACAGACGTGGGAAGTATGGAAGAAGAAATCCGCTCGGGAATGGAAACCGAGGAGAGTTCGGTCCCTGAAAATGGAGACAAAAGCAAAGAGACAGAAGTGTCCGAAAAAACGGAGCCAGAGACCGAGGATACTTTTAAGAAACCGGCCTTTTTCGCAGCTCCGTCCAACAAACGCATCGCCCCATCAGCCTCAGCCGAGCCAAGCAGGAGCGAAAATAACAAAAATGGTGCCGCGGACAGAACTGGTGAGACTGTTCAGGATGATAAACCCGTCGACAAATGTCAAAGGCAGGACCAAAATGTGGAAAAAGACAGAGGAGGAGAAGTCAAACCGAAGGTGCCTTCTGTCAAAGCTGGAAAGTTCCCCCCGATCCCGTACACAGAGCCTCCCTGGGGGGGCCCTCCGCCAGACACCCCTTACAGTCTTGAAATCCTCAAAAACGGTACAGTAGTGGACACTGTGCCCCTCACTAACATAAGCTACATTGTGGTTGGACGTTTGCCTGTGTGCAATGTCTCCCTGGAGCACCCGTCCATCTCCAGGTACCATGCGGTGATCCAGTACCGCGGACAGGCCGGGCAGGAGGGCTGTGTCGGAGAGGAGAAGGGCTTTTATATCCATGACCTTGGCAGCACACACGGCACAGTGGTAAACAAGAACAAAATCCCCCCAAAGACCTTCATCAGACTGCATGTGGGTCATGTGTTGAAGTTTGGTGGGAGCACGAGGCTGTTTGTCCTTCAGGTACTGGTCAATTATTTATTTATTTTATTTTTTACCTGAAACACAAGCTTTAATCTGTTAAATTTACACTATCTACAAAAACTGGGAAACAAAAAGGGACCTAAAAAGTTTTGGATGTTTGTTTAAAAGTTTTGTTTAGCATAAAAATCTTATACAAAACCATTTAATTTAAGGTTTAAAGAGGATCATCTAGCAGAGAAAATTAACTAACCTTCAATTAAAAATCTGTACAAACTAAAGGAGTTTCCCATTTTCTTTTTACAGGGTCCGAAGTTTGATGAGGAAGAGGAGTCTGAACTGACAGTGACAGAACTGAGGGAGCAAGCTCGCAAACAGAGAGCAGAGCTGGAGAAGAGGATGATGGGAGACCTGTCTGATGGAGAGGAGGACGAGGAGAAAGAGGGGAGCACAAAGAGCCAAAGGAAAGATGACGACTCTGGCTGCTCGTGGGGAATGGGTGAGCAGATTTTTGTGTGATGTGTGACTTGTTAGTGTTAGTCTATGTAAGCTTTCTATTTAAAGGACATATTTGTTCTCTCCTTATCTTTTCTTTTTATCTGCAGATGAGGAGGCAGCTCCAGAGGAAGATGAGAACGAAGAAAACCCATTTTCAACAGAGTTCCAAGAAGACCAGGAAGCAGCGTACCTTAAAGACCCGAAGAAAGTGTTGCAGGGATTTTATGACAGAGAAGGTGAGGCTCTGTAGATGAAAACAGTTTTCTCTGCTTTTCATTTTGCTTCTGACTTTAACATTGCCGTGTGCACGTTAGGAGAGGAACTGGAGTTTGAGTATGAAGACAAAAACCATGGCTCTTGGCTCTGCAGAATAAAGTGAGCAATGTGAAGATTTTGCTTTATAATTTTTTTTGATGAGAAGCACGTTTAGAGCTCACGTCTGTGTGTTTATCAGGTTGCCCGTGGACGATGCAAAAGGTCGTCAGCTGATTGCTGAGGTGACGCACACGGGAAAGAAGAAAGAAGCAGCCATTCAGTGCTGCCTGGAGGCCTGCCGGATGCTGGAGGCCAGAGGGCTGCTGCGACAGGAAGCAGGTGAGCTTTCAGACCGGAGAAGGCGTGTCACGAGACTGGAACTTGTTCAGGCCGCAGTGAGCCGTGTTATTTCCAGTGTCCCGGAAGCGGAAGAAGAAGAACTGGGAGGAAGAGGACTACTACGACAGCGACGACGACACCTTCCTGGATCGGACGGGCACCGTGGAGAGGAAGAGGCAGGAACGAATGAAGAAGGCAGGAAAGATCGACGAGCGACCTGAAACCTTTGATTCTTTGGTAAATATGTGCAACAATTGAACACTTTCGGGACAAATTAACGGATGAGGAGTGAGAAGAGCAGAAAAACACCACTTCACTTTCACATCACTTTTAAACTGGAGTCAAGCTGTAAACAAAATGTATAAATCTAATTAACTTGTGTCTTCTGTCTAGCTGTGAATACAGTTAAGATAAACAGCTACTAGCATGGGTTAGAACAGACATATCTATCTTTCCTAATTACAAAGTATTTTACTTAAATCATATGGAGAACCAAAACTAACATAATTAGAAATAAAAGCAAAAAATATAAATGGACCAATAAATAAAAAATGCACCAGTTAAATTAAAAATGGAGAACTTTACCTCATGTTTTATAATTTAATTTACCTTCATGTTTATCTTTCCAGCTTAGTTCCAATAAATTATATTTTTTAGAACATAATTGACATTTTGCTATTTTTAAAAATATTTTTTTAAATTTTTCCTTTTACTTGTACATGCTTTTGTGTCTCTTAAATTACAAGTCCAAGTCTTTTTATTTTAAAAACAAAAGCAAGAAGGAAAACACTTGCCTGTGTCTTTGTTTTAAACTAAACTTTCAACTTTAAGCTAAACAAGCACAAGCATACACAGTATATCTGCACCCATAGACTTGAATAACCCTAGGCTAACTCTCGTCCACTGTTAGCATCTGTGACAACATGGAGGAGCAAAAATGGTGACCTAACAGGGCATCGACTCACCTTTTTTTAAATTTAATTGGTGCATTTTAAGTGTATTTATTTATTGGTCATTTAAATATTTCTGTTTTTATTTTTAATTGTCAGTTTCGGTCCTCCATAAAATCAAACAATTAACCAATTAAAACATTTGAGTGTTAAAAAAGAGGTTTTTGTTTTGACATCCTTAATAATTTTGATTCACCGAATTTCATTGATTTCACTGTTTAAAACTTCAAACCTGTTATTGTGTGGTCCACAGGTGGCCAAACTGTCAGCAGTAGAGAAAGAGCTGGCAGACACCCAGAAAAAGCTCAGCTCCGAGAATCAAGGTGCGTTATCATCACCTGCAAACCGACGCCTCTGTGCTTTAAAAGTCTCAGCGTCTGTTCAACTTTGGCTCCTTACAGGAAGTTCGGCCTCCTCCGCCGAAGACTCTCTGGACGCCTTCATGACAGCGGTGAAAAGCGAGGCAGCGATGGATGCCGTGGAGCGCCGGAAGCTCCACCTGCACGTGGCCGACTTGCGTAAAGAAGCTGAAAAGCTTCGTAAGCTGGTGGAGCTGACGCGGCCGGCACAGATGCCTTCACTTCTTCCCAGGTGACGCTCGTTTTCCCCTGAAAGTTTTACTTTTATTTTCTGTTTTTAACCTAAAGCCACAGGCATCATTTTAAAGCTTATTGGTCTGTGTTGCTGTGGTAGTGGAAGTTCAGAGCCAGAGAAGCCCAAAAAGACTTTACCGCTGTTTGGAGCCATGAAAGGAGGAAGCAAATTCAAACTGAAAACTGGGACCATCGGAGTGGGTGACCCAGAAACCTGAAATATCTTTTTTTTTTATCTGAGTTACCTGCTGCTCACCCTCTCCTCTCCTCTGCAGAAGTTGCCTCCTAAGCGGCCCAACCTGCCTGCGGAGCTTTTCAACATGAAAGAGCTTCCGCCTGGTGGGGAGGAGGAGGAGGAAGAGGAGGCGGCGGCAGAGATAAATAAAGATGATGGTGATGAACATGACGTCACTTTATCTATACCTGGCACAGAAGATTTGAATGCTTCCACATCTGAAGAGAAAACTACTTTGAAAGACGAGTCTCTGGAGGTCAAAGGTAAAAAATAACTTTCCCTCTGAAAGAAAAAGCAGGATGTTGCTTTATGCTACCACTAGATGGCAGTCTTCCTGTCTGTCTTCTCCTTAAAATCATCAAGTTTTAGTTTTACAAACATCATGCAGTGAAACAACCATTTTTTTTGTTTTCTTGTGGACTCAGATTTAAACTGTAGAGGATACATTTTTACAAATTAAATGCACTTTTTATTTTTTCATCTTTCAGGACATTTAAGATGGTGATTGTTTTCAGTCAAATACTTTGTGTGAATGCTTAGAAAGCTTTCACACTATTGAGATAAGTTTTACGCAATTTTTATGCTGTTTAAAAAACTGATACCACAATGTTCAGCTCCTTCAAGATATTCCGGCTTTGACTTTTGGTACTTCAGGAAATCATACTTTTTGAGAAATTTAGCTTTTTCTGACATGTTTTTGCCATTAAAAATGAATTTTCAACACTTTTAAAATGTTCATAAATCTTTACCGTACATTTCACCTTTTGTTCTGGTTCTGCTTTTTTATCTAATTTGTACTCATTTCTGCTTCCTTCAGTTTTCTATTTTGCAGATTTTAGCTTTGTTCTGCCTTTTTAGCTATCATTTTGACTATTATTCTTTTGCTAATTTCTACTTTTTTAATGATTCTTTCATTTTTTTCTGCTATTTTAAGCTTTTAGCTGTTTTCTGAACGTTTTGTTTTTTGTGTTGCTACATTTTAGCCAATTTGAGCTTTTTTCAGCTAAATTCACCTTTTTCTGACAATTTCAGCTTCTTACTGCTTAACTCAGCAAACATGCTTTTTCTGATTGTGCTAATATTAGTTCCTTTTTAACTTTTTTTGCTGTTCAGCAGAAATCTTCTGGCATTAAGCATTCACACTGCATTTTTGCAAGAAAGGATTTTTTTTTGTTGAATCTTAAACTTTTTAACGGCGTCAGTCTTTGTCCTGACATAATTTTATGCTTGTCATCAAACTAATCGTTTTTGAAGTCTTGTTTTTAGATTGTTTTCATTGTCACTGATTATTTTCTCTGCTTAATGTCAGATCAAATCCACAAGCTGAAGAAGAGTGACGAAGCAGAGCAGCTAGTTCCTCTCAGCAGCAGCAGCAAGAAGTCCTCAGCAGCCCCCCTAAAATCAGGTGGGTCTTTTTAAAATGTGTCTGCTTTTAGAGCAGAGTGCCAAACAAATTTTAGAGTAAGATATTGCACCCTCAAAACCAGACCTGGCAGAAAGGTAGTACTAATGAGATTACGTTGAACATTTAGGCTATAAAAACATTATTGTTTTATGTCCTTTAACGTTAAAAAGAAAGACAGAAACTTTTACATAATTATTTATTGACATTTACCTTACATGTTTGTTCATCTTGTCCAGAGTCGAAGGCAGAGGGTGAAACAGAGCCAGCAGCAGACCCTGGTCCCCGGAAAAAGAAAAGGGTGATGGGCTGCAGCAGGGTAACCAACCACCCCACACATCAGGTTTAACATGTGTCAGTTAGACCATGTGAAACAACTTATTCCTGGTGTCTCCACAGCCTCCTGTGCAGCTGTCAGGACAGTATCCTGAGGATGACCCTGATTATTCAGTGTGGCTGCCGCCTGCAGGTAAACAACTGTCCTACTCTCAGTCAGCTGATRGCATCCTTAAATCACCTTAAAGCTCATTAATCAGCTATAACTTCTGTAGAAACCCATATTTGAAACCRGAGCACCCACAGTTACTTGCTCAGCAATGAGGGGAAAACAAATACTTTGCCGTCAAAACAGGCTTTTAAGATCCATTTCTGAGGCTGAAATTGCAATAGTTTTATTGTTCAGTAAGGAACGCAGCTCAAAGTCACTCCAGAGTGATAAGATAAGCTTGAATAAAATGAGCTCTGAAGCAGGAGCCAGACTGAGCTTTTACTCAGGGACAGATTTAACGGCAKGGTGCTGTAATTAGGCTGATGTTGAAAACACGCAGCTCTGAAGTTGTTCACGACCTTTTTTTTTTCTCCCCTCTCTCAGGTCAGACTGGAGACGGTCGGACCCACCTCAACGACAAATATGGCTACTGACTGGGAACATCGGAGACAAACTTCTCCATTTTCATTCCTCCCACACCGCCACATCTTTCTATTCATTTCATATCTCAAACTGTGACAAACAGGAAGCCTAATGTTTCAATGCTGGGACTCGTCCTGCTCATGCTCCTCACTCCGTGTAATAATGAAGACGCAGCCCTTTGTTTTTAACCTTTTATTTGAATTCAAGCAGAGATGTGAGAGGAAAAAGCAGCATTTTAGTTCTACTTCTCTTTGCTTATAAACCAGCCTGGCATTTATTCTACATCCCTCTCTTTGGCTTCACTTGATTGCTGCCATAACCTTTTACTTTTTTTCCCTTTCCTCTAAAGGAGGGAGTGTGTAGCAGGGAGGGAAAGCATTGAAGCAGCTTTTCTGACCATCTGGACATTTGGATGGCGTTCTGGATGAAACGTAAGCTGATAATGACTCAAGCTAAGTGGAGTGTGTGTATCTGCGAGAGTGCACGGACACACACACACACACACACTCTGCTCAAAGTACTCTTTTTAACAAGATTGTCTTGGTGAACGCTCAGAGCAGGATTCCTTTCTTTGTGAAATCCCACTCAGTGATTTTTTTAAACTTCTCCCACACTTCCCACCAGCTCTGCTCTTGTATTTTCTCACAAAAATAAATGTAAACTGTATTTTGTTACATGTAATAAAATTGTCTGTACATAGCTTGAGAGATGTTGGAAGTATTTACTCAACCTGCTCAACTAAGCCGCTGTATTAACGTCAACACATCATGCTTTTGGAACTGCAATGCTTTGGTCTGAATTACGTATTTTAACTCTACAAGCCTCATTTTCACAATTTTCTGATGTGCGTCTCAGTCARGCATTTTTATGCTGTACTTTTGAATCCAAATGAGGCGCTTCACACTGCCCCCCTCCAGCTTCCAGACTGGTTGATTCCAGTTTGTTAGAGGGGTTTACGACTATATAGCAGTGCAGAAACATTTTATTTACAAATTAACGAAAGAAAAAAAAAACAAGGGAAGACTTGTCCATCCAGCCTTACATGTTGGAGCCAGAGTCTGATCAAATTGTAGTTGTTAAGTCCCAGGGGCAGGGCCAGAGGCGTGGCCAGGGTGGCATGTGCCAGTCCTGGCACTTCACTGGCCACCCCAGGTGCCAGCCCCAAATGATTGACAAGTGGGGTGGGGTTTGCATGTGGCATTTCAAAGATTGATATACAATAAACATTTTCTTTGCTAGCTGGGGTATATCATGAGGATTGTTCCTGGATACCACCACAACAAATTTCAGCTCAGTATTTTTGAAAATGGCTGAGTTGAATCATTTGAAATTAGCTTTGGCAGCCATCTTGGATTTTGAATTTTAAAAAAAGTAAAAGATTGTTTCTTGCCTACTACTATTTATGCTAATTTTCACCAGTTTAAAAATGGCTAAAATTATAGCCCTTTGGGAAATTAGCATTAGCAGTTATCTTAGTTGGGATCAACGGCATGTTTATTTTTTTATTTATTTTTTTTCTTAATCATTCTACAGCTTCAATCATAACATTACAGCTCAATATTTCTTAAAACAGATAAATTAGAGATGGTTGAATTTAGCTGTGAAGGCCATCTTGAACTTTGAAATCTAGAGTAGTTTTATTCATTTGTATGTGCCCCCCTAAAAACCACCTTGGCCACCCCAGGCTAAAATGTCCAGATCCGCCACTGGTAAGTCCAGACCTTATTTGGCAGTTCCATTGCAAATACTGTGACATAATAGTTCAGAAAATGTCACAGAAAATACAGAAAACTGAACGAGTTGAAAAATATGACCCAAAAAGAATATTAGGATATTTATGCAGCACTGGAAGAAACTAAACTTGATTTTTCTGCACTCCGAGACTCCAAGTAAACAATAAAGTTAATTTAATGGCTAAAAAAGGAGATTTTGCATGAAATATTCCCTTTAACTCAGGGCAAAGGTTAAGCTAAGGGAAGTGATGCAAGTGTTGCTTCTAAAACACTACATTTTAATTTCTTTAAAAAGTTCACTTCATAAACAAGAGGCCACCGAGCTTTTATTGATTAGTTTTTTTGTGCAACAACGGACAAAAAAAAGTCAATGTTACATTCAGTTCGGAAAACCTTTAGTTACAGTGATGGCATTGTGTTTACTCACTTCATCTGATCATTTAGGGAACTGAGAGGTACCTCAGATTCAGTTGGATACAACAGGAATGTCATTTCAAGGCATTTAAGAGATCTTTAGAAACACTGGGACATTATAAATAAGCCAGTGGTCCTCTTTTACCTGGAAACATTGAGGTACAATATTGGAAAAAGAGAAATGGCACACTACAAGTAGGCTATCCAGAACACGCCACTGTTTAGCCAAATGTGCAGCAATCTACCGCCATAATTGTTTCCACAGATCTCTTTCTGCACCGCTGTGGAATTCATGCAAGAGAATAACTCTGACCTGGACTACAAGTGACAGCTTGGTAAGAAATGTACATCATCATCAAAGGTCGACTATTCACCTACTGTGCGTTTGTTATAGCTCGACCTTACAGTACTGTGTACTCAAGAACACATCCATATAAGTAGTTTTCAGACAGATAAATGCAACCACTGTCTTAAGCATAACAAGATAGATGACTCAACTCACCTTGTTTAGTTAGATAGGAAGTTACAAAGGAAGAAACCCTGGAACCACTTGATTGTCTAACATGCATCATTTCCTTCAATACGATCCAAACTACAAAAAGTTCTGGCTTCAGAAAGGTTGCCCTGGTCTTCAGTCCATGCTTGATCTTTGATCAATTTTTCAGCTATATATACACCTAACATCCTCAGAAAAGTTTTGCTAGGCCATGTTTTTGTTTTCTTACTTCCAAAAGCTCCTGATTTCAGCAACAATCAAAAAGACACAGAGAGATTACCTGAGAGCGCAACAGTTCCATCATCAAACCAATGACTTTCCAGTGGTCAGTCCTTAAGCTTGTTGCAGAAACTACAAAAAAGTAGCCACCTGAAAAAGAGGTGTGGGGCTGGTGTTTGACATGATGAAATTATTTGCTTATAAGCAGGGCGGATCCTCGGATGGAGTCAGGGGGCTGCAGGGGGGCACTGTGCTCAAGGAGCGGAAGGCAAAGATGGCCGGGTCGTAGGTGTACCTGGGTGGAGGACGAGTGCCAGTCAGATTCTGAGGACAGAAAAAAAGATAAAAGACTTATTGGTACAAACAGCAACTTTTTTTTGTCATTTTGTCAAGCAAATGTCTCACAATCCTGAGAGAAGTTGCTTAAAAACAATCCATCACGCAAGATAACTGTAGAACATTTTCACAGAGATTTTATTTTCCATTCTCGCTGCAGGTTTAGAGCTTTTCCACTTGCAACGACACCCCTCACTCCCCTTCTTTGTGATTATACGAGCCCCCTGTCTAAAATTAGCCCTAGTCATTTTCTTCCCCGCAGGAAACGACAGGAAATGACTGTTGGATTTGYCAGTGAGGCAGCACTTTCTCCAGAGGCTGTAATGAGTTGATTCCACGCAGAAACTGAGAAAAGAAACACAACACTTTTGCTGACTGGTTCCAGTCACATCAGCGAGGGGGGAAAAAAATCCCACATAGACAGGCCACAGGTGTTACTATGACTTCATCGAACATCTTCGGGGATCCAGCACTGACGAATAAGCTGTAGCAACTCAGCAACAATTCCCAAACCTACTTAGAGTTGTTTCATGTACTAATGTTGACTTAAACAATCAAAAGAAATAATCCACAGGAAGACACAGTTCTAGAAGAAGTGGCAGTAAAAGATGTGAACTTTGCAAAGATGAGACGAAAACTTTTTATGCACATACAGTATATGTCCCGCCACAGTTGATAGTTTTTACATCACATCAATGTAATTGACCTCAATATAAACCAAAGTATCATGAAGCAATTTCCCCCGATCCGCTCCGTTCGTATTTGCACCATTTCCTTCCCTTCGATCAGTCGTCACCCTGCGCTCCAGCCACTCTTTATGGTGGCTGAAACCAGATGCCATCACTTCTGCCTGCTTAGGCCTTCGACACACTCTCTTGTTCACCTCCAACCCCAGAAAAGAACAAGCTTCAGAATGTGCAGCCAAATCTGTGTTTTCCAACTGCTTCCACACAAACACACACGCACACACACCACTGCAACTACTCCCATGCTTGAATGCTTAAAACCAAGGGCCCCCATCAGACCCAGTTTCTCTTCTGGTTTGTGGCCAGGAAACCCAAGAATTTCCAGATAAATGGGGAGAGTGACGAGTAGCGCCACAAAGAGTAGCGAGACTCCACATCGGCCTCCAAATGGCTCAAAGACTCGCTGTGTGCTCATTTCAAGGAACATCTAAAAGCTGGAGCAAAGCCAGTGCCTGCAGACYTCACTGACAGGGACAACAACACTACCAGCGAGAACAGTGGATAATGAGCAATACTTGTATGTTTCAGTGGAGCTAAACAGATCACAGCCGGCCAGGCTATAAATGGAAGATGACTCCATCCCTGGAAAAACACCACAAGGGAACCGCACACACACTCCACCTCCTCCTCTTCCTCCTCCTCCTCTGCTCTACCTCTCATCGCCACTTACTCAGAGATCATCCTCGGTTTCGGACTCCACAGATGAGCCTCGATGCATACATGGGAGATAGGTTTCACATGAGACGTTGCTACAGTTGGTGTGTATACATAAACGAGTGTGCGATAAGGTTCCACTGACACTATCCCACACAACGTGATAATAACGTCACTTCTCTCACCACACTGAGCATCCTTCTGGAGTGGCCTGCTCTGTGCCAAGATGCTGAGGCTCGTTCCAGTCGAGCTTCCCTCAAACAAACACAAAAATAAATAAATAAAATCAACACAGTTTGAAGCGGAGCTGAGGGATGATTACTGGATCCATCAGGGTACTAACTTTGTAAAATATGTCGGTACTTAGAGCTTTGAGACACGTTTGAAGTGAAAAGGTGATGACGAAAAACTGCCGAGTGAGATAAACTTGACAACAAAAGTTTGACAGTGCTGCRGCGAAAACACTCGGATGGCGCTATCAGATTTTCTGCAGCTAGCAGGGCATGGAAACAAACACTGTGGCCAGATGCCGTCCCAGTGTGCATTTGGATGGAGATCAAGGTGCTGGCCACAGGACAGGCCTGGCTGTTCACAGGGCAACCGAGCAACCTTATCTGTACCAGACACCCTGATCCTGCCTGACAAAGAGGTCTCCCTGTGCACCATGTGTTCATATTTTTATTCATTTATTTGTGGCAAAGATGCAACAAAATATTAGTTACTAGTGTACCAAATGTATCCAGAAACAAACGGCAAGGGATGTAAGTGTGCTCCACGCAAGGTGAATAAAGCAGGAAGCATTTATTCATTCACTTTCAAATAACCTGATTTTGTGATCAGTGTTCATATTACAGGATAGTGTCAAATAAGTTTGTTATTTTTACATAACAGTTAGTTCTGCATGAGCAAACAACAGGCATAAATGACCAAACAAAGAAAATYTATTTAAAAAAAATCAGCTTTAAAGTGATGTTATGTTGCTGTTTTCTTTGGCTCTGCTTCTGGTTACTCATTTTACACCCGTAACAGAAAATATAAATATAGTTTTGGCTGATTCAAAAGCATATCCTGTTGTTTAAAAGATGTACATTTCAGAAATGTCAAATTGTCAGTATTTAGAAAACGACCAAAAAATAAAAATTACTTCTGAAAGTACTAAAATTGGATTTGGAACKACCAACACATTAGTAACACTTGAAAGTATAGAAATGAATCATCTTTAAAAAAGTGGGGCTGAGGAAAAGAAAATCCTTTTAAAACAAGTTTCATTAAACTTTATGAGCTATAAACAAGACAAAGACCGGGTGGAAGTTTAAAAGTGAAAGTAAGAGTATTTCCAAACAAACAATGCAGAGAACTCAAGTTATTGGTAGTAAACATTTGTGTAGGCTTAAAAAACTTGTACAACTTAAAAGGCTTCAGGTTATCAAAGTGCAAAAAAAAAAAAAAACTGGACTCTGGATCAGTGGTTAGAAAGTTGGCGTGGGTAAATTCCATGATGACAGTGCCAGAAATCATCCAGCTTTAACAGTGAAAAGGCTGCTTCAACAAGCAAAAGACCTCATCTGAATCCTTAGAGGAGTTGGAGAAGCCCTTAAACATTTACTTTGACGTTCTGAAATTCATAAATTAACAGTTTAGCCTGACAAAACATGCCAACTAAAAATGGAATTAAAAACTGAACTCACTCGGATCTTCATGGTCCGTGTTTTCCCTCCACAGTTCTTCTTCAGCAGCATTTTCTGTGGAAAACAAACATCCTCAGTAACAGCTGYTGAACATTTATTCAGTAATAAAAACAAAACTCCTTTATGACTGTTAAGAAACAGGAAAAAAAAACAGGAAATAACTTAATTTGTATGTTTGTACAGAGAACTTGTGCAACATAGAACTACAGAGTAAGCTCTGCTTTCAAAATGTGAGAGTGATTTAAAAATACCACTTGAGGTTTTTGCCCGTTCTTACAAAACTGTTGTTCATTTATTCTCTGCTCCTCTTTCTGTTTTCCACTCACACAGCAATGAAATGAAATAACACAGACATCCCTGAAGTCGATAACAAAAAAAACAAGCAATGTGGTTCCAAATAAATCAATCAAATCAGTGAATCTGCTGGAAAAGATGATAATCCAGGCTGTGCATAAACCAGCAGGTGATTTCCAGGGTTGTTTTCTTTATTTATGGGACATTTATTTTGTCAGTTATTTATGACACAAGAACTTGATCACTTTGACAGGTCAGTCCTGTTTTAGGGTGAAACATTCAAGCAGCTGTAAATGTTTTTCACTCATCAGCACTTCTATCTGTGTCAAGAACAGGCAAACTTTATTACCACTATACATTTAAACTGCTTTGGATTTGCTCAAGGTCAGCGCAAATTCTAATTTTAAAACCAGCACAGGCTTACATGAACCATGAGCTACTTTAATGTGTGCAGGTWTCATCCTACCATATTCAGACGTTTCAAAAGTGAAAAGTTTTACATCAATATGTTACAAGTGGATGAATCAGGACGAAGGAGGAAATGAGGCAAATCCAGCTGTCTGACTAAAAAGTTCAAACTTATGCAATATCCTGTCTCCCACGAACCCTTAATGTCCACGCAGCTTTTTCATTTTTATAAAAAAAATAAAAAATGAAGAAACCAGTGGGGGTGGAGTGACCACACAATCACTGAATTGTCTCAAGTTAGAGAGGCAGCTTCCAAAGAGTGCCGGAAAGAAAAGCAACACAAAACTCCTGCTGTTGTGATGTGGGACAGACCTGCTGTGCACTTGCCCTCCTGCCAACCCTAATCTGTTCTGTATCAGTGATACAACACGCCCTCTGACAACTGTCTGCCTAAACATGCATCGACAAAACAGCAAATATGCTTACGTACGAGTCAGCTTCTCACTTTAACACAAATGATTCCAGTGTTATCTCYCTAAAGGTCTTTTAATTTAATACCATTAATGGTCAAAAGGTTGATTTCCTAACATTTATTTTAAAAAGTGAAGATTATTTTAAAGTTTTTATATGTCTTCATTATTTATTTTGTTGTTGGTGTTTAATAGCTTATGCAGATTATTGAGAGCAAATAAAGTTGCTCCATCCTAATTAATCCATAGTGAAGCTTTAATTAAAGTTTACGTGTTAATCCTTAAATTGTTTAGTTCATCCTTACAGAATTTTAATTTGTGCTTCTTTGTGATTAAAAATGTGACGGCCTATCTCAATGTACAAAATTCAGATTATTGATCAGCTTAATGATAAAATGGTGCAGATAGCTGATAATAGTGGAAAATTTWAAAAATGAGCTAAATAATTTGTTGCTGATTTGAAATGCTATGAAAAGCATTATTTTACAGTTACACAGTGCTCTTCTTACTGATGCAGGCAACAAGTAAAATATTCATTCTTATTCTCTATTTTCCTTGTTGTTTAGCCAATTAAGTGGACAATGCACTTTCAAGCAATATTTTTTTAACTGGTTGCCATTAAACCGGCAACAGGTTGCTGAATGACTGGAGCTCTTTAAACACCTAAACAACAAGTTTGCATCATCTTTTAGCAACATCTGTTGCACAAACTGTTGCTTCTCCAAGATAATGACACTAACAAATGGAGAGGCCTCATCTGTGATGCGGATTGTGATGGGATTAGCTGGGACTAAAAGAAAGCAACTCCCTGACCCCTTTAACCCACTRTTTCTAGGAAACGATGAGATACATTATTAAATAAAGAAGTTGAGCTCCATCTGGGCTCACTGGGGCACTGCAGCTAAATGATCCAGTCTTAATCTTAGTCCTTAGTTTTAAATGGTGAATATGAGTTCTGAAGACAGTTAAGACTTGTGCTTTTGTATTTCCAACCAAAGCAGAAAGATTTGAAGGATTAAGAATAAATTAAAAACTATAATTTATCTAAAAAGAATTCAGTTTCTGCCACAGGACTCCSCTGAGTTTGAGACCTTTTAAGTGCATTTAACTTGTGTCTGTGGTTTCTCTTCCAGAAGGGAATCTGGTAAAGTAGTTACATGGAGTCTGGAGGTTTCTCAGCGAAAGGGTTAATGGGAAACTCTGTCTACTTGCTACCTCTGCAGGCCCCCTTTTGTATTCCCTGCAGCACCTCCCATTCCACTTGACTGAGCGTGCACACACCCTCACATATACAGACACACTGATATTAAAAAAAAGGAGAGAGGATGTACGCACAGACAGGGAGGATGATGGATGCACACACACTCTTGCTGCCTGCTGTCTCTCATCATCTGTTCTTTCCCTCTAAAAAACCTCATGGACATATGGACCCCTGAAACCTGCAGTTTCTCCCCCTGCACTCACTCTCTCCCCCGTCCACGGTGTGGGCCAACAGGTCTATTGGGTTTTAATGATTAGTGCAGCAGCTTCTCCGTGACTCATTAGTGGCTGTCGTTTTTTTTTTCTGCTCGTTTATTTAATCCTGTTCTTCTGCCTCCACCCCTCCATCGTTTCCCCTCGCTCAGCGGCCTTTGTGAGAAACGAGGGCGGACATCTGCTGTCTGTGCCTCCCCTCTCCTTCATCCCTCTCCAGCCGGACCACCGAGGTGTCGAGCGTCCGGCTTTGGAAGTGGAAGACTCCGTTTGCATTTTGTGCAGCCATGTGTGCTTGAGCCCTCATTGTATTTTTGGGCCAAATCCCAAACTGAGATCCCAGTTTGATTTCGCTCAGAGGGTGAAGGTGGTCTTCTTTTTTTATAGTAAGCTACATGCAACACCTCAATGTGTTTAAAGAGCACAGAGAAATGTTTTGACCAATCATTGCCAACTCAACTGCAAACTTATTCTAAAAATGGACAGAAAAAGCCCTGAACACAAATTTGAACACATCTGTCTTAAAGAAAAACAAAATTAATGTGGTCTTTCAGTTATTTTATTTGCCTCTTTAAGCAAAAAGTTTTCTAAGTGTGATCTAACTGTAGCCTAAAACCAAACAGAAATCTTATGAAGTAGACAAACAGTGTAATATGAGCAAAATAAAGTAGTTAAAGTGAAATAAACTAATTTTTGAGTTGTATTTAAATGCTGTATTACAAACATCACCAATGCCTTTTGTTTTGTAACAACTGTACACGTGAGACAAGAAGGAAATTCAATGTTTTGGGTATGAAACCATCATCAGCGGTTGGCAGCACAAATCTAAAAATTAGTTCCACTAGCGCTAAAGCACTAACTTAGGTCCATTAATTCTAAAGCACTGATGCACTGAAAATTTTAGAAAAAGCTAATTCTAAAAACATTAATATGACCCAGCTAATGGAAAGTTCTTCAGAGTCAACATGAGTCACATATTGCTCTATCAAGCTTTATCATCATCATTTTGCGGCCTTATGTGAGTTTAAGCAGTTTAGGAATGTGATTCGTTGAATGGTGGTAATCAAACAGTTGTTGAGGATTGCTAGCTCTGTTGTTTATTGGTCATTTTCCCACGCTTACAGTAGGGCTTTGGTCAGAATGCAAGCAGGATATCAGAAATTTAAAACTGTTTAATGGAGAACTCAGCTCTGCTCAGGATGGGAGACTGTGATGAAGTGATTCAACACAGTCTGCTGGCTTCTTCTTCTTCTTTAGATTGTTCTTTTTTCATGTACTGTGCCCTTAGACAACATAGGCTATGATTCGGCGCTACATAAATAAATTGAATTGAATAGAACTGAAGTGATGCAGTCTGGGTACAGCACAGTATGGAGGGTGGGGTGGGGGGAACAGAGTACAGGAAATGTTAATATTCAACAGAATTGCTTCAGGGGCTCCCTTTGTAAAGCAAAAAATAATTCATATTTAAACATTTTAAGTATGGATTATTTTGATTTAAAATGCTCAGTGAAGAAACGTTTAATGATTTTGCTGGGACTGGGGGTGTCCCCCCAGTGACGGAGCTCCAATGCCTTGCTGCCACGTATGCACAAAGAATTGTAGGAACTCTCTCTTATTGGCTATAAACTAAAACCATGAGTCAGGAGTGCAGCCCGTCGGAGTTTACAGAGAAAGAGAATGTACTTCCAATCCATGAGGGTTCGCTGTCATGAGACAATATTTACTGTATGTAGAATATTGTCAGTATGTCACCTAGTGGATAAGTGACACGCGCATGAACAAAATGAGTGACCACTTTCARCCTAAGCTGGTAGCAATAATGCTCATCAAATAATTTAAAGACCTGAGTTAGTGCTTCTAAATTTAGCTAATGCTAAAAAGTACCAAAAGCCCAAAAGAACTAATCAGGAAATTACTTTCCCTACTAGTGCTTTAGTGGAACTGTGCCTGGAAACCCTTTTCTTTTAAGTTCCACACAAAATGTTTTCAGACATTTAGGTTTAGTTTTACTGTGTTCAGCTAATGTTTTTCCTCACTGTAAATGAGTGGAGCATGAACTGCATTACTCACCTGTTGCATTTTTTCCAGGTCCAGACTGGGTCTCCCAGGCTCCCCACTATAGCTGTGTCGGTATTTTCTATAAGGTGCTGACTGCTCAAAGTGGGTCAGAATGATGGGCCGCGCGACTGGCTGGACCACCTGTAGCTGAAATCTTATCGGGGGCGGCTTGAGGCTATGCGGCGGGCTGGAACTGAAGAGTACGGGGCTGGGAGACGCAGCGAGGCAAGCACCAGGCTCGACCAGCGGCCTGGCGGGGGCGGACGGCGACCGGCAGCCACAGAGGTCCCGCACCTCCTCGTCGCTCGAAGCGCTGCTGTGATGATCGCTGTGGCGCTGGGGGACAGCGGACACCCACTTCCTGTTATCGCCACAACTGATCCGCTCAAGCTCTTCCTCCGAGGAGTGTCGATCCAGGTTGGCGTCTAAGAGGAGGCGAAGGCGTCGGAGCCGGGCCGGAGAGATGGCGCCCTGGTTGTGCTGCTGGCTGGTGGCCAAAGGGGTGAGGGCACAATTTCTCCGTCTCTCTGGAGAAGTTAATGAGGAAGACATGTAAAAAAGAAAGGAGACACAGTTGGGAAACAGTGCAGGAGGAGTTCTTCTACAGTCACATTGTATATAATGTTGACGTTGAGAAAAAACCTTGTGTATGAAAAGAATCACTTGGGTGGCACACATACCTCTGTCAATTTGAGCAAGCTCCTGGTTCTCGCCTTCTGAGTCATCGCTCTCCCCTCCCTCTCCACTGCCATGATAAGAAATCTGGAAAACAGATTTGGTTTTTCACAGACACAATAGTAAATTATCATTTTATAATTCACTCAGTCGACATTCAGTCTCACTTGTATGCGTTGTGTGGGATGTTATAAGATTAAAATCACAAAAAAAAAAAAAAACTGGAGTTGGGTTACACAGAAGACTTCAGTTTAAACCTAAGTGCTTCAGAAAAAGTCATATTTTCTTAGTCATTGAAGACATTTTACTTCTCATCTCTTTCTTTATCGCCACCTTTCAGTTAAAGCATTTCTGTGTTAGCTACGGTTGATTAATCATGGTGCTGTTTTGAAATTACGCGATTTTATTCTGAGTTTTATTATGCAATGAAAATGAATGAAATGAATAATTTTTTTGAACTGAATTGAAAAATCTGTCCATTATTTCACAAGATATTTTACTAACAGGCAAAGAGGGTCAACTCAGTTAACAGTTAATTCAAAAGTTTAAAACAATTATGGTGCCTGAGCTGTTATCACTCAGTATGTATTAGGATGACTCTCAGCTCCCACACCAAATATATAACCATAGAGTTCAAACATACAAAATAAAACCTGAACAACTAAATGATCGCTTAATATTAATATACAATAATTTCTTAATTGTTTTGTAAAAACTGATGATAAACCCACAATAATCGATCATAAGCTCTAAATAAGTCAGAAATCTGACTTTATATCCAATAAAAGTTGACACAAAGGTGACTGTAGTCAAACTACAAAATTCTTAATTTTTAATTTTCATGACCTCAGCCTGTCTAAAAATCAATCGCTCTTTTACAGCAGCAGCAACAATACAGATATCCTGCAGTCTGCAATGCTAAGAGTTAAGTAATGCGCCTCACACTCAGTAATTACCACTCAGAGGCTTCGCTGAGCAGCTGCCATCTGTGCATGTGTGTGTGTGTGTGTGTGTGTGTGTGTGTACACTTATAGTCTGTAAAACACACACACGCTCTTCTCTCTGAAGCTCCTCAAAAAGTGTGAAAAGGGGGAACAGGAGCCAAAGCTCCAAATCCCAACKAACAAAAAGCAGCATTCAAATCATATTAAAAGGAAATTCCACTGTTTGGTTTCACAGCCTGTTCAGCGACATTCTATTTTAATCAGCCTGCTGCATCACAACGCTGCACCTCCCTGTTCTCATGTCTGAAATCAACTCCAGAAAAAAAAAAAAGAGGATGCAACTCCTCTTTATCACTGCCAAATCCACGGAAACATACAGACTTTCCAACTGAACTACACATCGCGCACTCACTTCCTTTTAATTCTTTGTGCGATTGTGAGAGAACGTGGCATACTTATTGCATGATGTGTTACATACGAAAACCAAACAGAAACCAAAATATAAGGTCTGAGAATATAAGAACTACACACTACTGCAACAAATCCAAAGATCAGACTTAAACAACTGATATTACACAAAACAGGGTTAGTAAAGAGTAAATATTGCACATAAAGCCATTTTTTAAGACTTAAAGGTTTTAATTTAAAAAATGACGCYAGGAACTTTATTTTTTTTATTTATCATTCTCACTTAAGCCTAAAAACAACAGGTTTAAAGCTAATATTCAAAAGTTTCACAGGCTGAACAGTGTTGCATCATGTTCTCTGATGGAAAAGTATAGAATAGCTGCATAGGAAATGTATTTTTACAAACGTCTGACTCAAACCTTTAGCTAAACTTTTAGCTGCTTTTCATTATGGTTGAGTAATGTCTGTCAAACAGCTGAAACCTTTTTTTTAGGTCTGCAMGATTCTAACACAAACATTCATCAATCAAATCTTAATTTCACTCAAGGGAGATGTTCGTTTTTAACCTTTTGGCATATTCARGTGTCTTCATTTTTTCAGCATGTTGTTACCATATGAAGCTATATTTTCTGCAGCTTCCTTGGCTGGACCTTTTTTTTTTTCCACAGAGTGATCACTGACTGTCTGACAAGAAGTTAAGCTGACAGTAATGATTTGGCATTTCCTTCGCCCTGGGAATCACCTCAGACGCTGTTGTTCATGGATCAGGGAGCACATGTGTAGGATAAAGGGCGTATGACCTAGTAATAACACATTTCAGATTCTAAACCACTCCAGCTCACAGATGAAAACACAAAACTAAATGAGCTGTGTTCTACAGAAATGTTCAGTTTTACATTTCAAAGAACCTGAGACTTTGTGATGGACAGTTACTGTATCTGATATTGTAATGTGAGGAACTATTGTGGAGTAAAAGAGAGCAAAGAAACTTTGATTGTTTTCTTCCGTGACCCATATCTGATAGTTTGTGTTCTGGCACAGCTTGCTTTAACAAAAACATAATAATAATAATCTTGTTTAACTGAAAATCAACTTATGGCTAGACAGGTTGTCAAAGCTCTAATGCTATATCAAAATAGCAGGAGGTTTCATTTTCATAACAGGTTGTGCATTTGTGCAATTTTAAGTAATTGTTCTGACTAACTACATTTTCAGACTTTGACTGCTGGAGCTATTTTGCACTCTTTGCTTTGTGTGGTTTAATGGTATCAAGAGGAAAATTATTTGTACTCAGACTTGTGATCAGATGCATATTGGACATACACATAGAGGCTACACGGAAGGCTTTTTTGTATTTGGATATCAACACTCTATACRACACAAGGTCTGCTGGTAAACAGAAGTTATAACAATAAGCTTTTCAGCACTGGACACCTTGGTTGTCTTTGAAGTGGTTCTAAACTTTAGATTTTTTTCTCATTTTCTGTCTTCCTTCATCGTTTCAGGCCTGGTTTTGCAGATGTCGGTGGTTTAGTGCCATCAAAGTGCCCTTGATATAATTGGCTTATTAGTAAAAATCACGTGACATTTAGGGCACCACAGGCTGTAAACATCATGCTTCAATTATTACCTTCTAGCTTCCTGAAAACCAAACACAACCCTTGGAACTTTGGCTGAAATAGTCATTCAGACAGAAATGATGATGATTCCACTCACTGCCATTATTGCTTTTTATGATCCACAAGTTGGAAATGTTAGGAAACCTCTGCTGTGGCCTGCATGATTTTAAAAAGTGATCCTGTTCAGTAGTGATGCAAAATATATTTGCCATTATATGATTATTTCTAGCTCATGTTTTTTGACTGCAAATGCAGATTTTTTTTCCACCTGACTGTGTCCATATTTAGTGGCTGAATCCATTCGAGGCTGAATTTGTAGAAGGATTGCATCGCAGTGACGCACCGAAGGATATCCAAAATTTGAATGCTTTTCCAATTGCAGCCCACACATGTCCTCCTTTTTCCTCCGACCTGAGGGACAGGTCTGGTAGATCCTCCTCGGCCCACCCTATCCCAAGATGCACTGCGGGCCAACCGGGAGATGTTTTTTGTTTGTAATGGTGGACAAATTGAGAGACGGGAGTACTCTTTTATATAAAAGTCTTGCAGTATAAAAATTACAAGTTTAAAGTCGTTGATTCTTTTGTCATATGCATCGATATGTGTTTTCATATTATTCTTGTATTAAACAGGAATAATAAAACTCAAACAGCAGGTCCTTTAGTTATTTAAGTACTGCTTCTAATCTAATTGTGTTCATTTATAATATTAATATACAAATATTTTGCTAATTTCGACCTATTTTCGGCCTTCATCGTTTCTGTTTTGCTTTGCAACAAAACATATGGTATGTTAAGTGCAATAAAGCTAGACCGTCCAAATTCACAGCTACTTTCTTTACGTCTTCGCTGTTGACGAAGGATTCGGCCCACGTAGCCCGAGTAGGCCGTGTCCTTTTAAGAACGCAGCCCCTGATTTTGGACACGGCCAAACAAGTCCTTTTTTAAAGTAAAATTAATATTTTACATGCCTCTTGTTTCTGTGATGGTCCATTGGAGAGGCACAAACACAAAATACATATTTTTAGACTTCGGATTTACAATAGCTCTGTGAAATATTAATACACACTTTTATTCACATTACAGACTTACAGTACTGCATATTAAAGCAGCTAACTGCTGACGACTTCAAGCTTAGACAGCAAATTGAGTAGGAGACTGGATGAATTACACATGAAAACTACTTTTGTGCATACACGCAAATACAGACAAAGAGTTGTGTGTTTGTGTGTCAAGAACAGTTGAATGAAATCCTTGTCAGTCCCTTGCATCACTGAGCAGCTTGCTAAGCTGGATCAATGGCAATGTCACAGCGTACTCACACCACCCAGTTCACACACATATCAGCTTTGCTCCGTTGTTCCTCACTAAAATGGGCCCTGTCACACTCCATTTCCCCTCCCATAAAATACACAAGGTCAAAAACGGATGATTRCTTCTTTTTTACCCTCGCACTACAGTTGAGTTCTCCTTAAAGGCCCTGTCACCCTATTACGCTTTAGATAACTTATGCCAACTTGTGCAAAGTTTGGAGACATTTATGGTAAAGGTGGAATTTAAAAAATCAACTGGAAGCTTCTTTTATGCATGTWTATAKTGTAATGCTAACAACCTGATCAAATATCTAACTTTTATTAGTCATTTGGTGAAAAAATAATAATTTCYTAAGTTGGCATAAGTTGACTTAAATATATCATAGTGTGACAGAGCCTTCATTTTGAAGTATTCCATATCCATGTTAGACCCTAAATCAAAACCAATCCCCTCACTAAAGTAAAACTCCAACCTAAAATGTGCTTTTGAGTAATTAATTTATCCATAAAACAACAAATACGACGAARCAGAGAAACTTATACTGAAGTGGGTTCACAGAAAACAGCAAACTGAAAACATGCCTACAATATAAAGCAARTGAATTTTACTTTTCTGTCACTAACAGAAACACAGTTAACTACATGTAACCTCATCTTCCAGCACCTGCTGTTGGTCAGGCTCAATTAAAAAAAAGGCACACAAGTGATTCTGAAAACATATGGACTCGCTTGTCAAGAAGAGTTTAAAGAAATCAGCAAAATATCTACAAAGTGTGGTCAACTTGTCTCTGGAACTTATTTAGTAAGGATTTAAAAGTATAAGAACCAGATTGATCACTGCATTGGATAGGCTACGCTTCAAACTGGGGGGTAAGTGCAACAAGAATGGACATTCGTCATGCAATCAGATGTCCATATTTGGTGCTTGTGCACCTTTAAAAAGAGACATGTTTTGTAAATCCTTAATTTTCACAGAGAAATCACTCAATTGGGGGTTATAAAATGGAACTGCAATGTCCGTCTGTCCATTTTCTGTCGCTTATCCGGGGTCGGGTCTCGGGGGCAGCAGCCTAAGCAGAGAGACCCAGACTTCCCTCTCCTCAGCCACTTGGGCCAGCTCGTCCGGGGGAATCCCAAGGCGTTCCCAGGCCCGCTGAGAAACATAGTCCCTCCAGCGTGTCCTGGGTCTTCCTCTGGAACTCCTCCCAGTGGGACGTGCCCGGAACACCTCACCAGGGAGGCGTCCAGGAGGCATCCTAACCAGATGAGCCACCTCAACTGGCTCCTCTCGACATGGAGGAGCAGCGGCTCTACTCTGAGTCCCTCCTGGATGACTGAGCTTCTCATCCTATCTCTAAGGGAGAGCCCAGACACCCTGCAGAGGAAACTCATTTCGGCCGCTTGTATCCGCGATCTCGTTCTTTCAGTCATGACCCAAAACTCATGACTATAGATGAGGATAGGAATGCAGAGCGACCGGTAAACCGTGAGCTTTGCTTTCTGGCTCAGCTCTCGCTTCACCACAACAGACCGGTACAGCGCCCGCATCACTGCAGACGCAACACCAATCRACCTGTCGATCTCCATCTCCATTCTTCRCTCATTCGTGAACAAGACCCCGAGATACTTAAACTCCTCCACTTGGGGCAGGACCTCCTCCCCGACTTGGAGAAGGCACCCTACCCTTTACCGGCTCAAGACCATGGTCTCAGATTTGGAGGCACTGATCTTCATCCCGGCCGCTTCACACTCYGCTGRGAACCGCTCCAGTGAGAGCTGGAGATCAGGATCTGATGAAGCCAATAGGACCACATCATCTGCAAAAAGCAGKGATGCGATCCTAAGGTCACCAAAACAGGTCCCCTCAACACCTCAGCTGCGCCTAGAAATTCTGTCCATAAAAGTTATGAACAGAATCTGTGACAAAGGAAAACCTTGGCGGAGTCCAATGCAATGTTTTGGTCTGAATTCATCCTTATTGCAACTTCACAAGGCCCTCTTTTACCCCTTTTCTGAGGTGTGACTCAGATCAACTCGTTTTGAGGCTGTCTCTTCACTTCACAGAGCGGGCCATACGTAGTTAGAAGGCTAGAATGTTAACTGAACCTTATTTGGCAATTAGGTGATTGGCTCCAGCGTGATTTACACGTAATCCAAGTCCTCACATGGCTTCTCAGGTGGATCTATTAAAGCCAGCATCTCAGCTCACTGCAGACTTTGAATTGAAAAAGCCTCCTGGATGGGAAGCAAAAAGTCTTCAACTTGAGAAATGAAAGTCCAGTTCTTTTTGTTTTTAAGTCTTTTTTTACTTATTTGGCAAATCGGTCGCAAATACTGTAATAGTTCATCATAGAAAATAGAGAAAACTCAAACAGAAAACAACGATATCTACGCAGCACTGGGAGCGACTAATTTTCGGCACTCCTAGTGACTCCAAGTACACAACAAAACACTTAATGTGGATTTTGCATGATAGGTCCCCTTTAATAAGCTGTTTGCAGCAGAGGCAGCAAAGAAAGCTTATGTTAGATTATTGCGCTCGCACCAATTTTTATCTTTTGGCTCCACTTGACACAACTCAAGTTTATTTTGCTTCACAATTATTACCCACGCAACGTGGGCTGTTTATTACAGAATTGTCAGAACCTCCTTGACTTTATTTTGGGAGCTCACAACCTCTCACATTATGGTTAAAGCAGCAAATACCCTCGCGCTGAGGCCGCACTGTGTTGAGGCCAAAACACTGTATGAGTTTGTGATTGACCTAATAACGTTGTTTTAATTTTGCAGACCATGCCCCAGATTTGTAAAGTAGGTGCACAGATTTAACACCGCTGGCTTTCAACATACATGAAGTATTTATCCAACTTAGTGCTTATGAACAAGTGGGATTTCTTTGTTTGATGTTTCAGTAAGTATAATTCTCACTAGAAGTCTGTGTAGAATTGCTATAATGGGTTTTACTTGTTAGAGGTAGGCCCTTCTCATTACCAATGCTTTCCAACACACTGACAACTTTCAGAAGAAAGGACTCGATCACTGAGCAGGGCAAGACAAACATAAACATGTGTAGAAAATAGAGCAACACATTTTCCTCTGGGCCTTTGTATGGAAACACTTCGGCTCAAAATGGCTGCCATGCGACTATACAGTTGGTTGATGCTCAATAGTATGATGGATGGAGCAAGTTAGTGACCCATGCAGGATACAACTCACCCTTCTGCGCAGCGAAATGGGGCATTATGCAAACTGAGCAGGCAGTAACAATGGAGGAGCATGTAGGTGAAATTAGTTGTGGAAAAATTGCAGGAGTTGGGATAATTATGGCCCTCACTGGAATCATGTCTCTAGTCCATAACTCTAAATTAACTCATTTTACTTGTCCTTTACTTGCATAGCTATTATAATAGGCTTACATAAAACACACATGCATGCACACATTATTTTTACCCACAAACTTTAGCTTGTGACTACACATGCAGCAACCTGGATATTCTTGTAAACACCTGGGAAAGATGAGTAAATTCCTTCTAACATGAACAGGTGCTCAAAAACTTCAGCAAATAAAAAGCAAGTTTTTTTTAATTATAGGTGAAAAGTTCCACAATTTATTCAGCCAAATGATTTGTGTTAACATAAAAAGTAATAATTAACTTTCTATTACCTACAGGCAGGATTATAAGTGGTTAAATCTGAGTAGTCACAAGACAAAAGTATACTCATCAGATGCTTTTTTTTTTCTGCAATGACAACTAATTTTAAAGCAACTTACCTTCACTTGGAAAGGATGGATCTCATTGAGAGAATGTCTTCTGAGCTTTTTCGTCAGGGTTTTTAACATTTTTTATTATAATTAAGGAGCTGTATGGCTTGTCCCCAACAATAACCTACTTTTACTGTCTCCTAAAGGACGGCTGGCACAAGTTCATTCGCTAACATGAGCGGCTAATAAAAGGCATTCTGACTTCAAAAGCTGCCGATAACAAAAACTACTCAACCAGAACTCGAAGCCAAACGGTGTCGATAAAGATGATACACCGAAATTCTCCGAACTGCGTAGATGCGGCTTGTTTTCCCAGGCTGCTCGGAGCAAACTTGGTATTTTCGAGTTCATTAGAGTTCGCGGAGTCAAGTCAGTTTCAAAAATCCTCCTTCGTTTAGGCTTCGTTCACTCTCACGGCCGCAAACTTTACCTCAAATATGTTGGTAAAATATAAAACAAAAAAAGGGGGAAAAATAACATCAACTTGCTCGCATTCAAACACGCACACACACATTCACACATATACACACACACAAGCAGCAACCGAGCAGCACACAAACACACACACACACTACGGAGAGCTCTCCTCCAGCCGGAGCGTAAGCGTCCTCTGATTGGCTGAGTTACGCCCCTGACGTCACGTGACATGTCAAAGGAGGAGGGCGGGGTGTTAAAGCCACACTGCTGCTTCTTGTCTGTTTACGTCTTCTGTTCATCAGCACGAAACAGCCCAAATAAGTAAATAACAAGGGTTTGAACTTTGACAGTCGAATAAATAAGTAAATAAATAAATAAACATTTTATGCATTTAAAAAAATTGTGTTTTTAATGTAAAAAAACAACAAAAAAGTTATGATACTTTCAATGCATCAATGATTTCTGATGTTTTTATTTTGTGTCTACAGAAAAAAAACTATTTCAAATATCAAAAGCATTGATTAATCGAAACTTTTATTTTTTTTCTAATATGTGATTTGTTTACTTAAAGAACTTTCAGTCTAGCATATTTTTTTGCAAAAATATTAAAAGAACAGGATTTAGTTAGTCACATTTATTTATGAGCTGCATTTAGTAATATCATGTAGATATTTATGATTTTTTTCAGCATAATTATTTATTTAGTGTGCATTTGTGCAGTTTATGTTAAAGTTAGAAGCTTGTTCTACAAAATAATGAACTTTATTAACTTAATATCGGCAATAAAATTAGATGGAAATCTTTTTTAGTCAAACTTGAATTAATTTCCACTTCTATATTTTTAGACTGAACTTTGTTTTCTGTCATACCTGCCAAACTACCGTCAATTATATCTGCATGAAAAAAATATACATCGCACAAATGTGACATTTGTGTAGTGGTCACCCTGGGTGGAATAAACGTTCCACCTGCCTTTGAACTTGACCACGGAAGGCCTCCTTTAAAGAACAGAACTCTGTTCAATTTTTATGGTCATAACATGTTTTTCTTAAACAATTAAGGGACATTTTATTTCATTTTATTCTCTATAATCAAGATAATAAACAAAATAGTAATGTTCTTTATATGTTTTGACTTTACATATTTTACTTAAGCAAAAGTTATTTCTTAATTAAAGTTATCATTTTAAAGTTAAAGTTATATGCTTAACTGAATGACAACTTATGTTCTTCTCACTATAACCAGAGAAAAGAAAGAAAGTCACAAAAGATATCATTTTAATGTTTATTTTGTGTATGTTAATCAACCATTATTTGAGTATAAGGTGATTATGTTTTTCTTTTCAATTCAACTATATAAGTGTATGATTTTCTGCTTATGTTTAACAGAGGTTGGTGTGAAYAGTTTCACTAAAAGCTGAGAGTTTACAGAAGCAGCTTTTGAGCATGTAAAACAGGGTTTGTTTGGTCTACGAGGCAAACTTTCCCATGAGAACTCTACGCTCCTTTAACTTTCTGATTCACACCTGTTAACACAAGGTCGACCGAGAGACGACTCTCTCTACCTCCCCCTCTTGTCTTTTCTATACTAACACGGGCAAAAGTCCGCCAGTTCTCTCTTGTCTCGGTCGACAGCAGTTCTAGCAGAGTCTGGCGCGGGTCAGACTCGGGGAACTGTCTGGTCTCTCCAGCAGAGAGCAGAACATTTGTGGTGAGGATTTTAGCTCATGAGCCAAAGAGCTAATCTTCCCACTAGCCTAACGGCGACGCCAGTCGTGGGCTCCCAGCACCTCTCTTTGAAGTTGAGACTCTACAGAGAGTCGCTTTTGTTTTTATCTGAAGAAGCCAAACGACGGAGTATCAGATTGACACTGAACCGGACCGACCCAAAGATAATCAACTTCCTGAAGCTGAGTCCGGAGCAGTGCTGACGGTCCTAAGCGGACTCAGAGGTCTGAAACCTGGACACCTTCAAGCTTACCTGACTGACGTCTGAAAAGGTAAAAGCTGAACGTTGGTTACAAAGTGTCGGAGTCCTGGCTGTGTCACTAAAGACCACTCCATCCTTCTGGCTTTTTACAGCATTGATAAGATAAAATCTAGTTCACTCTCCCATAATAACCACTTTTCCTACCTAAACTTAACTTTACTTCACTCTTACTAAGAATTTGCCTCAATTAGGTTTATTTAACATCAAAGAACCTTATTGTGTCATATAAGTTGTCAAATTAACGAGATTTAACCCTTTTTAAGTGTTAATGGTTGATTATTCAACTTATGTAAAGCCCTTGTCCATCTTCCAATGAGTTTGTATGTAAATAATTGTTTTGTAAAATAAATATCATTTATTTTTAGATAAACTTTATTGACTACGATACTCATTGTCAAAGTCTTGGTCATAATAAAGGTGATGGTTATTATTATTAGTATTTAAAATCGAAAAGAACCCGTTTCCTCGTATATTAACTATATTAATATTAATCGATATTAATTAGGTTAAATATGAGAAGTTATGTTGGAGGTAATCTCTACATTTGCATCCCAGGATGTCACATAAACAAATCCCACTTTCTCATAAAAACTCTAAACAAACCATCTGTGTTGTTTTCATGTTATAGACAGAACAGATGCATGATATCCTGATGTAAAGCAACATGATTTTTAGTGTGTAATTGCTCTGCATCTTTAAAACAATGGTGCGATTTCATGACACAACCCCCAGCAACAAGACCCTTTATTAAAAAAATGGAGAGATGTGAGGAGAGAGAGGGAACTGGTGTAAGTGAGGCATCAGTTTCAATGATGTCATTCTTTCCTGGGTGCTCTAAGATGATGCATGTGAACAAATGTTTGCACGCTCTTCCTGCTCAGTATTACTTTGCAAACCACAGTTATTTTGCGTTGACTCTTTCATTATTCTAAATTTCTGCAGATAATTTGTTCCACTCAAGCATGACTGACTATTATTTTATGTGTGGTTTTTGCTGTTTATGGTTTCTGTCAATACCATGAGGAAATATTATTTTTATTCAAATGTTCATTCTGTTTAACTTTTCTCTGTGTGCTTGCCTGTCTGTTTGAAAAGATGTTTAAAATGCTGTGACTTTAATGGCCTCTGGATTGATTGTGCATGTGCACATGTGTTTTTTTCCCCCTCACAACTCCTCCAGTCATTGACCTGTAAACTTTCCAAGCAACCTGTGGCTTGTTTCCAGGTCAAGCTCAATGCAAATCCAATTTACTGCTGAGTACAGCCATCCAGTCGACTCCACTCAAGGCCAGCGTAAGTGTTCACTTTTCTAACAGGAATAAATTACCAAAGATAATGCACCACGAAAAAATACATTTCAACTATATCATAGAAGATAAACACAAAAGAGCAAAGTGAGTAATTTCTAAAATCTTGTGTTTATATAGTCATCCACAAGAGGGCAGCATTTACATTGTTATAAAACTGGGCTGAACTAGATTAGAAATTGTCCTTGGTTGTTTTGAGTCAGGCATGTGTGTTAAAGGGTTGTGTACAGTTTAAAAATATTTAAACCACCAATAAAACCTAAAAGTTTAATTTGATCAGCTTGTCATTAAAAAAATTCTGCAATAGTTTCAAAATAAATTCACATTTGAGACACATTTGCCTTGAAACCAACTCACCAGCCGCAACAGTTTGTTCAAATCTTGATGTTATTTTACAATAATCTAACACTTTCTGCCACACTGAGAATATCTGCTTCTCTCATAAATGTTCATTTGGGTTAAATTCAAGATTTTCTGGTTCTTCCAAGTTTTAAACATTTATGGACACCGTGTTATTCCAGCAAATGCTTTTAACACCTTACAGCAAGGAACGCTAAGTAAGAATATACCAAACCTCGAGCATCAAATCAGTCAAAGTGACAAAGTTCAAATTAAAGAAATACAAAGTACGTAAGGCGTGTTAGGGCGTTAAAGGCGTTAAGATGGATTGTTCTTAGGAGGGATGAGTCTTCATGTGCTTCCCTCTGATGGCTTTCAAAGTTTGTTGGGGCTGAATATAGTTCTTTAGATTTTTTTTATTTTTTAAAATTTTTCATAAAAATACAAAGCAACTCAAGGCCAGAGTTTACTCACCCCCATGTTTTGATTTTGATCCACTGTGGAAGAATTCCCCCAGATGCACATCTTCTTACACTGTACCCTCTCGTGTCTCTAATCTCATCAGTAAATAGATCTTTATTTTTCTTAGCCACTACAATGCTGTAAGGACTTGGCCTATTTCCCATAAGAGAGTTTACTCTGACACATTTGTTTCACTGATTCTCACCGCTGTGACCTTTAAAGAGCAAATAAACATTTCAGGTAAGACTACATTCTTAACTGATGAACAGAACATCCATGGGTAGATTTATCGATTCAGTCTATCAGTGTCATCCAAATGCTGCATCAATGCAGGTAATGCAACTCAAGGAAATGAGGGTGTGTGATGATCATCTCTCCTTCAGTTTATATATCCATTCACCTTGAAAAAGCACAAAACAGCTTTTGTGTTCAAAGCACTCATTTCTTTCATTTAGTGGACTCAAACATTTCCCTTGCAATGCAGCTATAAAAAAGCTGGATTCTGATTAGATTTTTGAGGAAATGATCACAAAAGAATTCTTCATGTGAAGCAATAAAGTCTGCAACTTATGACCTGTCTCTTTTTTTTGCTCCTCCTTTTAAATTATTTTGAGATTTTTATAAAGTTCCTGAAACTAAAAAAAACAAAAAAAAAACAGTGTCAGCAGAGCTCGTGCTCGCCCCCTGCTGGTCACTGACTGTCACTGCACGCACCACAAGCAGTGTGGGCTGAGTTCCTCCTGCTCAGAAGTGTTTATAGTCATTAAGGATGTGAGGGTGTTTGTTTCTTTGTTTGCCTCTGAGACAATATTAAATTACTCTATTCAGATATCCTTAACACTCTAAACCAAAGTGGCAAAAATCATTTGTTGCCAAACAGCAAGGGCTGCAGGAACTGGGGTGCTGAGGGTGCTACAACACTCCCTGGTGGACCGAAGAAATAAAATATGTCAGAAATAAAGAACTAAACATAATGAGTAAACAGGTTTAAACGCAAATGTTTAATAATTGTAAGTATATACCAATTATATTTTTACAACCATGATTTTTTTTTCACATTTTATATTTGAAACAAAGAAAGTGTGGAATATTTTGACATTTGTACATCATC